ATATTTGCGTGTCCATCCTCTATCAATTGATGAAGATATTCTCCGATCCTAAGAAAATATCATTTAAAGATTTATTAATTTCTGCCTTACAAAATGTTATATTTGACAAATATTTCAAAATTTCTGATTTTATAAAATTTGTACAAATTTTTTTTAAAAAATCAATTGATTTTGACTGTAACAGATATATCCTCGTTTCCTCAGCTTGGAAAAATGCATTAAATACATAAAAAAATATAATGTATATTTTAAAAATAACAAATATGCTTTTGTATCTATATTTTGCATGACACGCAACAAATTTCCTACAGATATACCTTTCTCGCTCATGATCATTTCATTTGTCACGGCTATCTACATCTTATAATTTTAAATGAAGGAATGCGCGTAATATGATAAAATATTGATTTATTGATTTATTGATTGAATTCTTGTTGGTACCAGACTTCGATTGTTGCCAACGAAGATTCAGACACCTCTGAGAACCTTCCTCCTCTTAATTATGAGTTTGAAAGAAGGAAGTGGTGAGAAGCTCGCGCGGGGATTCTGACCATTTCTACCTATAAATATGCGTGTGGAAAAAGCGGCCATGCCTTTTTTCGGTACTAACTAGGCAGTGACATTAGTCAGTGACGCGTGATCAACCTTAGGGTTAAATTCTTAAATTTATAATCAATTTCTGTAATATTTCTCTTAGGAAAATTTAAAAGCCTCCTCGATTAAATAAAGTTAATTTTCAACTAAAATAATTGGGAAAACTGAAATCTTAAATTCTTCTTAATTAAAATCAAGATCATAATTCTAAATCCAAAACCGGTCGCTAACAATAGCGTAGCGTACCATTTAGTCGCAGCCAATGGTGTTGCGACTGAATAATTTGAATTTAAAATCTTAATAATAAATAATTATTTTCAAACGTATTCATGCCCAAAAGAGGAGGGCACAAGTTCAAATTAAAAGATTAAGATTTCAGTTAAATCAAATGATAATTTTAAATAAAGATCCCTTCTCATTTTTTCTAAAACTTAAAAATTTGGAAAGACAAACTAAAACTAAAATAATTAAGCAAATTCCTAAATATAAATTAAGAAAAATTGATTTCGAGGTAAATTATCCAAATTATAATCAAATTAATAAGAAGGATCCCCGATACAAAATTTATAAAATTCGTTTCCTATTCGGGGTTGATTAATTCACAAACCGGTCCAATCCTAGGGTAAAGTACTTAAATATATTGACCTTAAAATGGACAATCAGAACGTAACACATTAAAAAAATGTTATATCGTGTTCCAAGATTGAAGAAGTCTGTCGATACATGCGTGATGAGAAAGCCATCGTGTATTATATAACTTTACAATTTTGTGAGTCCTTTCTTCAAAACATTCACTTAATTCGATGAAAATAGACCATCGCTATAAGTTATATAGCTTGTAATTCTTTTCAAGAATTCCTCATAAACTTGAGATATCTGAGCACATACGGCATGCGAAGCTAATGAAGCAGAATGGCATCGACATGATAATGTCAATACATTATTGCACATCTCTTCCAATTTTTTCTTGAAAGATAAATGTTTTCCGACCATAACGAATACATTGTCGCATGACAAAGCAACAATATTTGAAAAAGATATTTGTAGCTTCCACATTTCATATTTAAATGCATTAAACAATTTTTCCGCGCTGCAATCTGTTGCATCGATATCAATTAATTTTATTAGTTGCGAATGAACTTCTAATGTTTCAATATGAACGTATCGAACGTGAAATGTCATCCATTTTTCATTAGAAATATCTGTTGATTCATCTATAAAAATAGAAAATTTTGTATTTTGAATATTTTCTATCACACGATCCATTTCAATTGGACATAAAACGTTTGTAATTATATTCGTTTTTGTCGACTCATAGTCATGCTTTTCAAAACGTTAGGATCTTTGTCTACATCTTTAAAAAAATCAAGTATTATTTTTGCATTTTCGTGTGAAATATTTTTTTCAGCGATTAAAGCAGCAAATCGAATCTCCACGAATTTGTTCCACTCCTCAAAAGACGAAAACGGTTTGCTAATTTTTATGTCTTCATTCGATTTGCTTGTTATTTCATCAAACTTTTCGCAATTATTCTTATGTATTTTAGATTCGGCGTGACGGTAGATTTGCGATAA